GAATGACATTACTCGACATAACAACCTATCTGAACGTATCTCGGCCTACTACATTGAATCATGACGGAAAGGAGCATAAACTGCGTATATTTTGCTCGTTGAAAACACAAACTGTGTTGGAATAGACGTTATTTAAATGATCTCAATCTGCTTTTTTAAATCTTTACATAGTTTGTTATTGAATACTGGATGATTTTATTTACAACAACCATAGAAGAGAATAATTAATCCAGTTACCGGTAATCAAATGTACATATCATTTCTTGGTAATTCCATTTGGTCTATATTTAGTTCTCAAAGGGTAAATTCTTTAAACTACTAAATCAAAATAAGATTTGAAAAAATAAAAATACTAGTAGTGAAATCTGAAGCGAGAGGATATTCTCATTTTTGACTTATAAGTTATAAGGTTGAAACAGGAGTTTCAAACACAACGAGGTGTAAAAGTTGTACACTACGAACTGCTTTCTACACATATTTCAATATTTTTTTGTCACAGGCAGAAATTCAGAGAACTGATGCTTCTGTCAAATAGTACTTGCCTAGAATTGTATCAAATTAAACTTATTAAGATGCATCTTTACTTCTTGAATTTTAATGATGCATGCGTTCTAAGAAGAGAATGTATGTGTAATTTGACGTCATTGCTCACAAATTGTTTTTTTGAAATGTCTGGTGTTTAACTTATACAAAATCGTCTGAAAAACGGACATGTGTGGAATATTTGATTGCAGATTTATTCAGTAGGATACTTTTAATTTTATGACCATATTTTGATAGCAAGGAAGTATTATATGTTCTGGTCTGTGCGTCCATCAGTTTTTCATCCAGTTTTGAACTTAAAACTTTTAAACTAATATAACTATTTAGGGTTTAACCCAGATTTTTGGTTCACAAAATGTAGATTTGGCACGGTGTCTTATAGCCACATATTCTTGTTTTAAAAAGTCAAGGTAATATTAATCCTCTCGCGTTTCAAATGCATATTCAAACTACATATGCAATGAACACTTATGGTCCTACATCCTGTTGATACCTATATTTAAGCGTTGCGCAAAGTCGTGATCTTCTGCACTGCATTTGGAATATAAACATTAAAAAGCAAACAAAAAAGCGTGCTGTTTTGATAGCATTACGCATTGATATTTCATTATTTTCCTATTTTCTATGTTTCTAACTTATGACATAAGCAGTTCAATAATTTTTGCAATCAAACGAATTCGGTGCCCCCCTATGCATTGTACTATAGTAAATAAATGAAATTTATAAAATACTTTAGGATAATGACAAGGGATATAACATATTTTGCCTGGAAATGTCTTTTGTATTCAAAAATTGATTAAACTGTCTAAAAATACATTTATACAGGGAATGTTTTATATATGAATTTTGAAGCCACACATTCTTCAATAAGCATTGATTTCGACATTTCTGAACATGTCAGAAAAATATCCGTCAAAAAACATATGTTCCCTACAAAACGTATAGATAGATAGATAGATAAAGATAGATAGATAGATAGATAGATAGATAGATAGATAGATAGATAGATAGATAGATAGATAGATAGATAGATAGATAGATAGATAGAGAGTTAATGTGTACCATTACACAGATCTAGAGTTTATCTTGATTTTCGGTGGAGTTCATGTTATTCAGACTTTAGTTTTCTGTCCAGCGAATTATTTTGTTTTTTAAGTGTTTTATTTTTGTATTTTGACATAATGCTGTTTGTTGTTTGTAACGATTCGTGCTACTCTGATTAGTCGTATGTAGTCGACAAATGTGTCTGACTTACCCTTTAGCATGCCTGGTATCTTTGATTATATTATAAAACCACTGACTGTCACTGCTGGTTGATACTTTGTTTCCGATAAAATCACCAGCCAAATTGTCTTGATTTTAGTTTTGACATAACATATTTAATATTCATACAAAAATAAGAAGATGTGGTATGATTGCCATTGAAACAACTCATCACAAGAGACCAAATAATACAGAACTTAACAATTATAGGTCACCGTACGGCCTTCTACAATAAGCAAATCCCATACCACATAGTCAGCTATAAAAGGCCCCGTAATGACAAATGTAAAACAATTCAAACGAGAAAACTAACGGCCTATTTTATTCACAAAATAATGAAAGAAAAACAAACCCGTTCGTTTTTTGTAAATTTACTGTTTAAAACATTTTGAATTAATCAAAACACTTATGCTATTTTACCCCTAGGCAAAGATTGCATAAGCCGTGATTTGGCCTTACATCTGTTTTGATTCATCATTGTAAGCCTGGTATCTTTGATGAGTTTTGTGTTAAATATTGACAATCAATATGAATACTGACAGGTAGATAGTAACTTAAAGGAAACATGTGAATAGTACTGATTGTTTATTAGCATATGTGTTCGATAAATGCTTCACCGTATTAACGTATTGATTTGTTTACCACAAATGATCAATTTCTTATAATTAAGGTAGCTTGGGTGTCTTCCTCCATCTTGGATTTTGAAATAGCAGATACCAATCGGTCTAGATCCTTAATGAAATATGCAAATTTCGAGAGTATTATGCAATTCATGTGTAAGACTTTTCATGTTTATATAGAAAATTATGTGTTTTGTCATATTTTATTGCTGTAATTTAGCGAAAAGCAGATTAGTTTTAATTGATTTTTTTTTAACTTTGGGGAGATAACTCAGATAAGGTTACTTTTATAATAGAATGTGTTGTGAATTTATAAATTTTATAATGTAGCAAGAAAAATGAGTCTGGTAACCAAACTTTTTCTTTTTGTTGTACATTTTGACAAATTATTAGAAATTCTATAGATTTAAATTTAGACCCCCCCCCCCCCCCCCCCCCCATCTACCTTGAGAATTCTTTACAACATTTAATTTATCATCAGTGTTGCAGAAGTTTCTTAAACATCTGTTTTGGTGTCCTTTTGTGAGAATGAATTTAATTAGTCATTGTTAGTAGCTGATGTTTTTTGTTCGGATGATTAAGACAGCTGAAAATATAATAACGGTAAATCGGGGGTCTGAATAAGTCTCGGATTGTAAACGGCTGCAAACGATTCATCATTGACACTCGAATCAAAAAAGTTAAAAAGGCCAAATAAAGTACGAAGTTGAAGCGCATTGAAGACCAACAGTTCCGAAAGGTTTTGCCAAATACAAATAAGGCAATGTATTCCTTAGGTAAAATGTCATTTCTATTTCGAACCATATCAAAATTAACGAAGCATCTTATCTATAACTATGACTTCTCAATGATAATGCATGTTTACACAAAAGTGATGACTACTAGGCTAGTGGTACCCTCGAAAAGGAAACCTCCAATAGCAGTTGTATTGGCCAAGGGGTTGTAAATGAACTCGGGTTGTTGTCTCTTTGACACATTCCCCATTTCCATTCTCAATTTTATCATCATGGATACCAGCATTAAAATTGTGTACGCCAGCCGCGCGTTTCGTCTTCACACCTATAATTATGACCATATTATTGATCATAAAAGTCAACACAGATGTGCTGACTACTGGGCTGGTGATACACTCGGGTAAATGAATGTAGACGAAATTCATAAATGTTATACAGACCTGGAATTTATTTGTAAGACTTTCATTTAAAAAAATACATGATATCATCTCATGCAAGAAAGATATTGTAATACCAAAGAATTAAAATGATGTCATCGATTGAAAATCAAAACAAATTTTCTAGAAGGAAAGATAACTCAAATAATTGATCACGAAGTTCTCCTTGTCATTTAAGTCATTTCTAGTTGTCTATTGCAATATGGATTTAATAATAAATCAACAAGAAATGTCCGTTCTAGCTATACTTGTTAGATAGAATTGAAATCGGGAATGTGTCAAAGAGACAACAACCCAACCAAAGAGCAAGAAACAGCCCAAGGCTACACATGAGTCTTAAGCGCAGCGAGAAAATCCCGCACCTGGAGGCAGGCTTTAGCTGGTTCCTAATCACAAATGTATAATTCTAGTTCAGCGGAATGGACGCCACACTAAATTCCGAAACATATAAAGATACATACATGTCCATAAAGTGTCGTGTTTTACATGTTTTAGGTATAAAATTTCTGAGTGATCATTTCTTTTAAACACATATTTATTTGGATCTTTTTATTCTGCATTTGTATTCCTGTCTTTATGAGATATCTCACAGGACAGTGTCACAAGAAGGGAAGGGTTTGCTTATTCATCCCAAGTACCTCAAGTCACCATCGGTTTCTGTTGGGGTTTGTGTTTCTAAGCCTTTAGTTTTCTTTGTAGTGTTGTGTAGGCTGGTTTTCCATTTTGTAGTTTTTAGTTAGTTTTTATTTGTTTTGAATGTCCCGTTGTTAAATTGCAACTCTTTTATAAACTGCATTATGGATGCTCAGCCGCCTTTGCATAGTTTGAACATCGTTAAACTATTGTTGCCTTTATTTGTCAGGGTAAAGATGAATTAAAAATTAATTACACGCGTTGATGTAATTTTGAATGGAGATTCAGTTTTATACCATTTAAAAATGATATCGAAGCACACTTGTCGGATGTTGTGTATACTTTAAGCATTGTCTTGATGCATATGATACAAACGTCAGACATTTCTCAAGCAAATGAGGGTTTATTGATAAGGTACGCAGATTGTGAATTAAAAAACCAATTGATGTACCTGTGAATTCTTTGGAATGTATGAAATGTTTTTAGTAATTTTGTTTGCGAGCAAATACAGTGTTACTCTGAACATCTCTAGTGTGTACCAAACTTTAAGGATAAGGCACAAAATGCAATATCTGTCAAGATGAAAAAAAAATGCTCAACTTTTAGGTATTCTTTAGAATTTAAAAGGAAGACCAATAAAAATATCGGCAAATATTGCAATTGTTTTAACAAAGAAATCATCACGAAATATTTGATACTATAGTACAAAGACCATTTTTCCGAATTGAGAATGCTGGTTAAATGGAATATAACTGTTTTTCTTACAGACTCTCTGTGGCGCAGCTAAAGCTGGGGATTTAGAAAAGGTCAAGGATTATCTTGCCAAAGGTGTAGATATAAACATTGGAGACTGGGTGAGGATTATATCGTAGAAAGCTTAATGAATCAAAGAACTTGTATTGCACGAAAACAAGATAACAAGCAATTGACAAAGAACAATGAATAAAATTAGTATTAATCTTCATTCTTCCTTACAATTCATCTATAATTCTCTTATGTTTTTTTTAAATTCGATGTTCTTGGGATTAAATGGTGATTGAACATAATAATGGGTTTGACTAGCAACAGTTACTTGCGAGTGTAAATGAGGTATAGAACCAGATATATTAGATTCAGAATAGCCAGAAAATAGTTTTTTACTGTTTATTTATTTTTCAAGAATCAATATCGACTAAGGTTATCTTTACCTTACGTACTTATTACCTCTCAAAAACGAATATGAAATGAAGAAATGGACTTTACTGCGTTCTCCTCAATAATTATAAATGTATACGGCACCCACAATTGTTTTATATATCTTTGTCAATTTTACTACCAACTACATCAACCTTTTTGTTGTCGGATATAATTGTTGTAAGATATATTTGTATGTTTGTTTGAATATTTAGTCAGTTGTGTTATATGTCTGTGATGTATGTTTACACAGTCTTCCAAATCATTGTCACATTAACCTTTTATGTATGTTCGGGGTGCTCTCTCAATTGGGTCAATATAATGCAACTGTCATGCAAATCGGAGGTCTGGCTAGCCATAAAACGTACGGTTAACCCACCAGTTCCTCAGGAAAATGCCTATACCAAGTCAAGAATATGACAGTTGTTTTTTTTACTCGTTCCGTTTGTTGGTTACCTTTGATTTTGTCAGTTTTTATACACTTTTCCAATCTTGAATTTACCTTGGAATTCAGTATTTTTGCTATACTTTTTTTATATACATATATTATGTTACACACATTGTCTCAAACGGACATTGTTAAGGCCTTTCGTTAAGGTTTTGAACCATGTGTTGAAAGATGCAGAAATGTCAAAATTGTACTTCTTTATTTGGTCATAATTGGGAATAGAGATGTTTGTGTTCATTTCATTTTGAATAATTTAACGTTACATATTTAATCCGAGGGTGATAGGCTCTTTTCATAGAATGTATTGTTGTGATTGATTTTAATATGAGTACTTAATTTGAATTGCTACATAGTACATGGTAAAGACAGTTAAGAAAAGTTTATATATGTTGTTAGTTTGTTCACAATTCATATCATGAATTATGCTTGTTGTACTGTTTGACAAATATAAAGATAGCTTTACAATTCCTAGCTACAGTGTAAACATAAAAGTTTATCGATCTGGGCATACTCGACTTAGTGATCAGTGATATGTTAACAATTTTAATTGATTCCCATGGGAACCAACTGTGCCCCTCTTCTTGCCGACTTGTTCCTTTATTTATATGAGACTGACTTCATACAGGAACTTCTTAGGAAGAAAGAAAAGAAGTAAGCAGTATCATTTAACCTTACTTTCTGCTATATAGATGATGTTCTCTCACTAAATAATTCAAAAATTGGTGACTATGTTGAACGCATCTATCCCATCGAACTTGGAATAAAGGATACAACAGATACAATTAAGTCTGCCTCAGATCTTGACTTACATCTAGAAATTGACAATGAGGGTCGGTTGAAAACAAAACTTTACGACAAAAGAGATAATTTCATCTTCCAAATTGTGAACTTTCCATTTTTATGTAGCAACATTCCAGCAGAACCTACATACAAAGTATATATCTGGTATATATTCCAGGGCTTGTATTTCCTATCATGATTTCCTTGATAGAGGGTTGCTGCTCACAAGGAAGCTATGAAACCAAGACTTCCAAATGGTGAAGTTGAAATCATTCCTTCGTAAGTTTTACGCACACCATCACGAGTTGGTTGACCGTTATGGAATATCCGTTTCACAGATGATAGCGGATTTGTTTCTAATGTCGTAGCTACAATCCCGTCCCCTTTTCCCGAATGTGACCTACCGAATTAGACTTATGTACTAACAAGAGCAACACGACGGGTGCTACATGGTAAGCAGGATCTGCCTTCCCTTCCGGAGCACCTGAGATCAACCCCAGTTTTTGGTGAATTTCGTGTTGCGTTGTCTTTAGTTTTCTATGTTGTGTTTTGTGTTCTATTGTTTGTCTGTTGGTCTTTTTCTTCTTTAAGGTGGCTCACCCTAATAAAAAACCCCGCTAGATTATTTCTATTTTCGCATATTTTGTAGATCTTTTTATGCTGGATACAAAAATGCAAAGAAAAAAGGGGGTCATTAGGCTCGTTTTTTCCTACTTTTGTTTTTATGGCGTTACTGATTGAGATCGATACAGAGGAGTGCCTCGAAAGCATGACGTTTGTATAGTGATAGTTTCATGTTGTTTACCCTCGTATTTTTATTTTACTTAAATTGTACTGTATCTGGAAAGTGTGTATATGTCACGTTGTTTTATATTGATTATAATATACTATACTATATATACTATCAACTACATGTTTGTTAACGTCTTTGATATATTTAACTGTTTATTTAATTGTCTGGAGTTTTTAAATTTACTTATATTGCATATATATAAATTAACTTTGAAAATGTCTCTCTAATCGGTTTAACCGGAACCATCACCTGACAGAATATTGTTCTCATCGATTACAACTATAGCATTTCAGACGCAAAATAAGTAAATACATATCTTCCCTTTGAATTATTCAAAAGAAAAACAATTTGACGAATTACGGAATAGATGTATTGGAAAGTGTGCAAAACATATGCGCAGCATTTTACATGATGGTTTCCAAGAAAATAATATATATTTCTTAAATATTTGTTAACGTTTAATTGTGACAGTAACTTGGAAGCTGAGAATGTTCATTTCTTGATACATTGTATTTTATAAAAACAAAAATAGTTGTTTTGAACAAGTCCATAGATATAAGAAGATGTGGTATGAGTGCCAATGAGACAACTCTCCATCCAAGTCACAATTTGTAAAAGTAAACCATTGTTTACTTTCCAAAACTGTCTTGCTAATTGTTTAATTAATAGGTTGATGTAAATCCTTATTAAAATAAAACAAAAAATCGGAAAAGTCTAGCTTCAGGATCAGGTAAAACCGATTGAATGGAAATTTTTAAGATGGATTTTTAAGTCACATGTCTTTGATGTCATATGAAAGATACAACACATTTACATCACATGAATTTAAAATAATAATGAACTATAATTCACTGCAAACATATATCTAAAAATGAATGACTAGGGTATCCTTAAAAGTTGAATAATGAAAAGTTTCAAATATTAGTCAATATAACGACAATATCCAATTTAATCTATTTTACAAATACGACACAATTGTGTATTTAAACAACGCAAACCTTATCATTAGCACATGTTTTGTGTATATAACCTGTTAGCTGAGACATTTCAATATCATAAAACAAAACTAATCTGACAAGACGATAGATTCGCAGGCTGTTAGTTGTTATAACTTGTAGTAACTTTGGAGCTACATATATAAATGAAACACATTTAAAAGAGGGACGAAAGGTACTAGAGGGATATTCAAAATCATGAGTGGAAAATATATTGACAACGCCATGACTAAAGAAGAAAAAGACCAAAAGACAAACAACAGTAAACACACAACATATAAAACTAAAGACTGAGCAACACGAACCTCATCAAAAATTTGCGGTGATATCAAGTGCTCCGGCTCCACATGTGGCACCTGTCGTGTTGCTCATGTTTGTACATACCCGGTAATAAGTCTAATTCGTTAGGTCACATTCGAAAAAAGGGGACGGGATTGTAGTTACGACATTAGTAACGTATTCGCTATCATCTATGAAACGGATATTCCATATCGATCAACCAACTCGTGATGGCGTCCATAAAACTTAACAAAGGGATGATTTGAAATTCACCACTTGGAATTTTAAAATACTGATAATCTATGTAAAAATAACATGTTGATAGTGATACAGCTAGAATGCAGAATGAATGAAAACTGAGAAAAAGCTTTCTTTTTTAACTTTAACCAGATAGAAAATATGTAACACTGATAACATGAATAATATAAATAGAGGTCTGCGAACTCAGAATTAATGTATATGTGATCTGTCAAAGATAATTACTTAAACAGATTACAGATTATGACTTTACTGCATAACTTTTGCTGTAGAGTTTAAATTTACTCTAAACTATTACGTTCACCTTATAAAAACCGTCTTCTGCTATTCATTAGCATGATCATTGCTATTGAAACAGTCTCTATCAAAATGGTTTTTCTAGGGCAATTATTTATAAAAGTAGACATTTGACAAATGTAGATTTTGTTTGACTAAATATTGTTGATTACAGTTTCTTCTATCTAAAACAGTATTAAAGAAATTGCCCAAAAAATATTTAAAAGGAAAACCAAGGACAATAAGTCCTTAAAGGAATCGATCATCAATGCCCGTTATAGTTTGAATTTTGTGATCTTGTTTGGTTGTTAATTTTTGCTTGGCTCTTTTTCTCTAGTTAATAACGTTTTGAAGTTGTGAGCTAAAAACTGAAAGTTTTGTAATACAAATCTTTGAAGAAGATAACACAGAGGATGCTTGTGGGCAAATTTGGTTCCATTCCAATGAACTTTTTCAGAGGAGAAGAGATTTTGTTTTTAAGTTGATGGACAGACAGACAGACGAGGGACGCCAACTCATGACAAAAATTCACATTGTCAACTTACTATCACAAGTGAACAGATAGACTGAGCTACTGTTCGCTGTCTCTAAAAGCAAGTGACATATTAAGACTTGCATGCATAACGAAAGGATCAAAATTTATTTTTGATATTTTTGTTAAACCTTAATTCTAAAATGAACAATAAAAGTTATTAAAAAAAATGTGTTTTAAGTTGTTTGGATCGTTGTATACAGAACTGCAAACCCTTTTTATTGCTTAATTAATGTGCGATGCGAAATATAAAAAAAACATCGACTCCAGTTGTATGCTAAGGCAGGTTGTTTTGTATAAAAACATGATTTTTTTTTGTT